TTAGGGACGGTGACGATGGAGTGAGTCATGCCGCGGAGAGAATGAAATATTCAGCAAAATCTTATGGAACATAACGGTTACATGTTGGGATAATGATTTGTCAGAGGTCGCATCAAGTTGCTAAAGTTCCACCTCTAAAGTTTGTTGTGACGCCCACAAGATGTTCCTGGGACGGTGCAACCCAAATGCAAACGTGTGCACGTGTGTTAACCCGTGATTATTTTTTTTAGGCTGAAAAGGAAATTTTAAGTCTAAGAGAGGTAAACTGAAAGGTCAAAAAAATTTACAGAACTGTGGAGAAATAAAGTAATAAATGTTGACATCATGGTTTAGAATTCTATAAAATAAAATGTGTGCATGAAAAAAGAAAGAAACATTTTACCACAAAGTAGCACTCAGGAGCAGTGTGAGATGGTGTTTTTCTTTTTGTTCTGGTGATGAGATAAACCGTATCTTTGAAGCGGACGTATGGAGAAAAGACAACTGGAATAAAGCGGTTGATATTTATTGCCACCGCAGTTATTCCCGTTGTTTTTTCTACCAATCCTGACGACCACCTCCTCCATCTCAACAAGTCTCCCCTCACATTCAGCTTCTTCGTGTTTTACGGAGCAGCAGATTTGTGTGCTGTCCTCTAAATCATTTCCCTCTCTAGCAGATTGCTCCCCACTGGAATATTGGCCTGACAGCCCTTTTTCCCCCCCTCCTTCTACTTCCCCAGTGGACTCATTTACATTTATGCACGCAGCAATTAATTACAGACTGGCGCTGGCCTTGTAAATTAGAGGGAGCTGAGGTCGCCCTCATTAATTGCCCCTGACAGTTAAAGCCTTGTTTGGGTCGTGACAAGGTTGACTTTAGGCCGGGACACTGGAAGCTTTGCAAAGACTGGCGTGTCTTCATGCATCTGATATCATTTTGGGGTAAATTAACATGTTTCTTGATGACTATGTTATTGTGTGCTAGTTTTTTTTCTCTTCTCTTGGACACAGAAGCATTTTGCAGTCTCTGTGTTCTTGGCATCCAGAGGTCACCATTCCATTCTTTGTGTTTTGTCTTCAGAGTAATGTCTTGTGTATTCTGGGGGTCTTTCATCCAAATGCTTGCGTATGGGAGTTTTCAATAGGCCCAGGAGTCAAGCAGGCAACTTCTCACGGTTTTGGCCTTTTCATGCGAAGACGCTCCAACTTCTTCCAGCTCCTTCCTTCACAAGGCCCTCCTTTCTTCTCTGTCACGCAGCGATGTGTTTGTGCATACCTCACCAGCTCGACAAAAGAAGGGAGAGATCCTATTCACTTTTGCCTTTGACATTCACCTCTTGTTTTTACAATCTTTCCAAGGCGCGCTGTTTGCACAGTGGAACAGGCTTTGTCTTGAAGAAGCGGGACAATGGTGAGCACCATAATGTAATCTCCTAAGGGTGGTGAGCAGAGGGGTGAGGTTTAGACATATGTGCTGGCGCTTGCCCCTACCGTCCTCTGTCTCCCTCCCACCTTTAACTTTAGCAATATTTCATGTTAACAGCGACTTGGGAGAGAAATGCGTGTTGTCACTTAAGCTTCTGTAATGTTCGCCCAGGTATTCCGTGAAGGGAACACAAAGGCTTTTCACTCATGCAAACATCCCCTTCCCTTGTTGCACCTTTAAAAAAAAAGGAAAAAAAAAAATTCTGTAGCAGTTTGGCCACCCACGTGCAAGACTTCAATCCTTTCTTCTCCTGCTGACATAATAAGGAAACATTATCCATTCCTCGACTTAACTAAATGTTTTAGCAGTCTAAAAC